ACATATCCACAGAAACCTAACCAATGCTCTAGTAAAAAAAAATAACTATTTCAATACAATTCAATAATTATTTTAACACATAACAATGAAAAAAACACTATGCCAAATGTCAGGATACTACTTTTGATTCAACTATGCATGTATATATATGTACATATATACATAAACACACACATACACACACACATACACAAACACACACACACACACACAAAATGCTATATTCATAGTACATGCTATGCTGTGATTTTTAAAAATGGGCATCCAAGAGTATAGTCTCTTTTCATTTTTATGTTGAAATAGTATTGACAGTAGGAAATACTTAACTACTAAGTTAAAATACTTAAACTTTTCCATTTTCTAAATTCTTTTCTAGAGTTCATGAAACTCTACATTTCATAGGTTCTTAACCTAGGTCAAATGGATTTTCCTGGAGCACAGCCTCCCAGGTGTGCTGCTGGACAATAATCCTTTCACTGGGTGGAGCCTGAAACAGTCTAGTACCCTAAATTAGTAACCTCTAGTTCAGGCATTCCTTCAGGGACATCCTGAGCAAGTTGAAGAAATTTGCAACTTGAAACAATCTGAAGGAAAGGGAGGGAAGTAAGAGAAAGAAAAGATGAGTACCAACCAGCAAGTGATATAAGCAACTGGTGAGCACTATGGGCAATAGTCAGTACTACCTTGTCAAGGAGGTATTCCACCACAAGACTACTTCAATAACCAGAGACAAAGCATTCTGCTGCCAATCATGGACCAGGGCCCTAAGAAACTATAAGAGAAATGTGGGATACAGTGAATAAAGAGCACAGAAAAGAATAACCCAAGATGAGTATGGGAAGCTGGGATGGCTGAGTGAGGACAAACAGCATATGTAGCTACTGGCAGGAGACCCCGTATCTTTTGTTTTCGCTCATTTCAGATATATTTGTCCATCCAAGGCTGATTAGCTCACAAAATTTCAGGATTATAAACGTGTGAACTAATCAATACAAGGAAGCACTATTAATATGCTTTAATATAGTTTCAAGTGACCCCCACAACTTTAAAATAAAATAAAAAATTTTAAGTGGTATACATTTTTTAATATATAGGAATAGTTCAATTTTTTTAAGCACCTACTTCTGAGCAAAGGTTCCCTTGAACAGTGCTTATAAAGAATTAAAAGAGTTCATCATTTTAAAAGTCTTGACTACATTGATTACAATTGCATGTAGTCATTTTAACCATAAAACTGAATATTTAAGAAGTTACAGGCTGGGCTCAGTGGCTCAGCCTGTAATCCCAGCGCTTTGGGAGGCCGAGGTGAGTGGATTGCCTGAGTCCATGGGTTCGAGACCTGCCTGGGCAACTTGGAGAGACCTCATCTCTACAACAAATCAAAAATGAGCTGGGCATGGTAGCTCACGTCCGTAGTTCCAGCTACTTGGAAGGCTGAGGCAGAAGGATCGCCAGAGCCTAGCAAGTCGAGGCTGTGGTGGCCAGGAGTGGCCACTGAATCTGGGTGACAGAGTGAGACTCCAACTAAAAAAAAAAAAAAAAAAAAAACGTAGAAGTTACTTCATGGTAGCAACTTTAAGTTTCTCATTTTAAAATAAGGAAAAGATGTTTTTAATTTTATAAAGTTTTAATATACCCTATTACTCTTTATTTTATTTTTCTTATCATAATAATACATAATGAAAATGTAAAGATTTTTTTCAACAAACTCCAAATCTCCTTTAGCTTATACCTATATGCCTGCCATTCAAATATCTCATTCTACGTGTGTCTTGACAAGAAAAAGATTGGAAAGCATGCCCTAGAGCAGGGGTCCCCAGCCCCCAGGTGCAGATTGGTATCATCCGGAACCAGGGAACCAGTCCGCAAAGCAGGAGGTGAGTAGCAGGCAGCAGAGCTCAGACTGCTGTCACATCAGCGAAGGTATTAGATTCTCATAAGAGCAGGAACACGACGATGAACTGTGCATGTGGGGGACTCTAGGTTGCAGACTCCTTATGAGAATCTAACACCTGATGATCTGAAGTGCACCTGAGGCAATAATGTTAGAGCTAGGAAGTGGCAGCAAATACATATTAACATTAACAGTGAGGTTTGACTGCACGTCCAGCCTCTAAAGCCTCGTCCCTACCCCCACCCATGTAAAAATTGTCTTCGACAAAACCAGTCCCTGATGCCAAAAAGGTTGGTGACCAATGCCGTAGAGGGATCACTCTGTGGGTTTCTCTGTGAAGTCACTGGGAATTGTTCTAAATTTACATTCTCAAGTATGTATACATTTTTTAGGGAGAAGATCTAAACTTTTCATGGGATTCTGGCCCTCACTTTATTCTACGTTTGAGTGGCCAGCACTACCAACTACTAAGTCATCCAAACCAGAAACCTGGAAGTCATGGGCTCTATTCCAGACTTATGAAATACTTTATCACATAAGCATCTCTGCAATCTGCCCCTTCCTCACCATCTCCTTCATTTTAGGTCCTCATCATTATTTAACCTGGATTTCAACTTATTATTTTCCCACACTGAATGAAAATTTTGTTTTAGTGTGTATACTATAACACTAAATTTTCCAATAAATATTCAAAATTTCATTTAAAACTGCAGGAAACATAATACAAGGAAAAGATACTGATAAAAACATTAAAATTATAAATTATCCAGGATTATTGATAACATTTTGGTATAAAGTCTTCCAATCTTTTTAATGCTCATCTATTTACATATAAAGTATATGCAGATTTAGCTTATAAGAATAGGATCACACTGTTGAGACTTTTTAATCAGCTTTATATAGTAAGCAAATATTTCTAATATTTGCCATGTCAAATATTCTCTATAATATATTACAATTTATTATGCTTTGAAATAGATGCACCATAATTTCTTTCAACAGTTCTCTATTAAATTATTTTAGACATATTTTTAAGTTTTATCTATTATAAAAAAAAAAAAATATATATATATATATATATATATTTGCTTTTCTTATCAACATATATATATCATGGCCAGGCACAGTGGCTCACATCTGTAATCCCAATACTTTGGGAGGCTGATGTAGGAGGACTGCTTGAGCCCAGGAGCTAGAGAGCAACCAAGACAACATAGCAAGACCTCATCACTACAGAAAGTCAGAAAATTAGCCGGATGGTGGTGCATGGTGGTGCATGCCTATATTCCCTGTTACTTGGGAGGCTGAGGCAAATGGATCACCTGAGCCAGGGAGGTCAAGGCTTTGGTGAGCTGTGATCATGCCACTGCACCCCAGCCTGGGTGACACAGTGAAAATCCCAACTCAGAAAGTAAATAAATAAATAAACAAACAAACAAGCAACACAACATATGAACATCCTTGTACATGTACCTACAGCCTTAGAATAAATCCTAAAACCATGTGGGGTTTTAAATCTTACTGCTTAAATTTGGATTCCTTTTATTATTTCTAAGCTGTAGAGTTCCCCTGTATTTCTTCTTACATAAACTATATGTTAACGTGTACTTTTCAATCTTCTATTAAACTGTCCACATTTTCTCTTTATACATTAAGAATATCAATAATTTGTCATATGTATTTGTGAGCATTTTTATCTGCCTTTTAACTTTTAACTTATATGTAGAATAGATTATCTCATTTTAATGTTTACATAACTACCAATGTTTTCTTTCTTGTTTAGAAATATATGCCATACTCCCAAAAAATAATCACCTACGTTTTCTACTAGTTCCTTTATGATTTTATGTTTTATATTTATCTCTTTAGTTCCTCTGAAGTCAATTTTGATATGTTAAATGAGAAAGAAATATAACTTACTTTAAATTAAAGTAGTTACGCACTAAAGAATATTAACAACAAATCTAAAGACTTATTACCAAGCCGGGCTCGGTGGCTCAGCCTGTAATCCCGCGCCCCTGGGAGGCTGAGGTGAGTGGATTGCCTGAGCCCGCGGGTTCGAGACCTGCCTGAGCAGCGAGACCTCAACTCTACAATAAATCAAAAAATCAGCCAGGCATGGTAGCACATGCCTGTAATTCTGTCTACTTGGAAGGCTGAGGCGGAAGGATCACCGGAGCCCAGCAGGTCGAGGCTGTGGTAGCCAGAAGCGGCCACTGCACTCCAGTCTGGGTGACAGAGTGAGACTCCAACTCAAAAAAAAAAGACTTATTACCTCTTGGGTAGAGAAAGCAACTGAAAGGGGTACAAAAGAGAGATTTAATTGTGCTGGCAATATACTATTTCTTAAGATGACTGAATACTGTTGTACAGGTTCATAAATTCTTTTATAAAACCTTAGAACCCAATGAGTTTTGGACTTGGGAATTTCAGAAATTTTATAAAGATAATAAGGTACATATTATGTGTTGTATAACATTTGGGGACTAGGATAGCACTACATAAACATAGCATTTCTGTAGCAAAACACAAAAACTCATACTAAAGAAAATAAATTCAGAAATTTGATAGTTTCCTTATGTTTTGTGGTCGGATGAGTTTTTAATTTACTATAGCTTTAGAATGTAATACCTGATAGCCCACTTTGCCCCCTAGTAAAAATTGATTCTTTGCTTTTCTTATCAATATACTCTTTTAGATGAATTTTACACTCACTGTCAAGTTAGTCCCATGTCTAGGAAAAATCTTTTTGGAATTTTAACTCAAATTCCAATAAGAAAAAAATTAAAAGCATAGGACTGGAAATAAGAAAATAAAACTGTTATTACTTACAGATCATGTGAGGAGTATTTATATAAAAAATTGTTTAAACTACTGTAAATAGTTAGAAATAACAGAAGAGCTTAGTGAAATAATTATATTTAAAACCAATAAGCAAAGTGAGTTATCTAAGATAAGTGAATTTGCTGTGCCTGGGACCAGGTCAATGTAACCAGCCTCCTTCCAGAACCTTAGTCTATTACACATCAAGAAAGAACATTCATGCTTTAGTAGAAGACCCTCTACAAGAACTGATGTTTTTCCTTTTGGTCTAGGTGCCAAGCAACAAAAAATTCTACACAATGCCCTAAAATTTTGTCATCCTACCGTGATAGATTTTATCCCACAAGAAAGCAGATGACTCATGTCAAACTGAGTCCAACCATGTTTCTATTCAAAAGAAACAGTTACTGATCCACAAGTAGTAATCTCAATTAAACCATGACTTAAAAGGGTATTCTTTTTAGCCAAAAAGTCATAATTTCAGTTGGCTAGATTTCACTATAAATTTCTTTCTTACTACACAAAAATTTTTACTACAAATATGTGCTATTCATTGTAGTCCATAATCCTTTAATGCTAACCAAACCTCAGGCCAGGACAGAGAAACAAATGTCACTTAGAGCCTACTTACTTTGAGTTTCTGAGCTTCTCCTCTCACTTTCAGCAGTTCAGTTATGGAGTCCACAAAGCCCTGGTAATGAAAGTTACACATTTTTTCAATTTCTCTGTCATGATTGCGGATGCGAGTTTCAAGCTTCTCCATGAATCGTCCATGTTCCTCACCATCATAGACAGACCTTTAAAAAAAAAAAAAGGAATGAAGATCACATTACAGCTACTGCTAAGTAGAAACAAAATAACAAACCCAGAAGCAGATTAAAATTAGATATTTAGAGTATATAAATCACAAAGTAATCCAATTGTATAATACAGCCTCAATGTTAAATGAGTATTTTTTAGGAAAATCCAAATTTTTTCTTATTCATTCAAAAATATTCGAGTGTTTAGGCAGTATTCATCACAGGATCCTCATCATAAAATGCAAGGACTGAATTACAACTCCCTTATCCCTTTCTTTCTCAATTTAACTTATCTAGAAAAACTCAATTTTTGTTAAACCCAACTATCTAATTACTCCATGACTATATCCAAGAAGCTAAACACTGCTAGGGGAAAATCACATAGTTGTGCTGCCTAGATTCAGTATGGCTATGTAACTACAACTCTAAATCAGGCACTCAATGACACTATTATAGTCCTATTACAACTACCCCCTCTCATTCCTCCCCCCCAAAATCACTTTGTATTCTCCAAAATATTTGTGTGTGTGACCCTCACTTTCTCTTGCCCACAAACGTTTGTCCCTTTACTTGTACCTGCTTACCTGTCTACATACTTTACAGAGAAACAAACACAGAAGTATCACCTCCCCCACTAAAATCAACCAATCTCCTTACACCTGTAACTCCTACTCTGTCCAACCTTCCTGTAACAAAAGAAGAAGTGCTTCAAGTTCTTATCCTTCTTGCTGTCTCAAGAACTTTACTCCCACAATTTTTACCTTTGATGCCTCATTTGCATCATATATTTTTACTTCTCTAATACTAGATCACTCTCATGGGCATAAACATGCCTTTTAAAAATCTGCCCTTGCCGGGCTCGGTGGCTCAGCCTGTAATCCCACGCCTTTGGGAGGCTGAGGTGAGTGGATTGCCTGAGCCCGCGGGTTCGAGACCCGCCTGGGCAGCGAGACCTCATCTCTACAATAAATCAAAAAACCAGCCGGGCGTGATAGCACGCACCTGTAATTCTGGCTACTCGGAAGGCTGAGGCGGAAGGATCGCCAGAGCCCAGCGGGTCGAGGCTGCGGTGGCGGAGCGGCCGCTGCACTCCAGTCTGGGTGACAGAGTGAGACTCCGACTCAAAAAAAATTTAAAAAAAAATCTGCCCTTAACTACACATCTCCCTGCAGTTACTGTCACATTTCTCTGCTTCACTTGCCAGCAAAACTTCCTTCTAACTTTCTCACCTCCTCACTTCCTTACCTTACCTAAGTAAGCATTTATCTTACTCCACCTAACAGCAGCATTTGCTATGATTTGATTTTCTCCCTTTAACCATTCACTTCCAAGACTTCAATGATATCATACTAATATGGTGCTTAACCTTACCTTTCACTGACACTCCTCAATCTCCTTTCTCAGCTCCTCTCCTCCTCTACTACATTCCAAAATATTCCTAAAACCTCTTCGCTTCTCAATGCTCTTTCACCAAGCAATGCCATCTAATCCCATGGCTTTAAAATACCATCTATATACGGCTGATTTCCTAATTTGTACCTACAACTCAGAGCACTTCCCTGAGCAGTAAATTCAAATATTCAGCCACCATTTAACAACTCCACTTAGATTGTTAAAAGCCATCTCAAATTTAATAGGGAAAAAATCCTTATTACCAATCCATCTCCACTCCCAAACCTGTACCCAAATTTCCAGCCACCCACCCACCAAGTCATAGTGAATGGCTCTATCCAGTTGCCCAAGTCAAAACTCCAGGAACTACTTCAAATCTGTCTCTTTCCATCACACACCCCATCTAATCCATTAATAAGTCTTGATAACCTCCAGAACATGTCTTAAAATTGACCATACGTCACTATTTCCACTAAAACTTGAGTCCAAATCTGTATCATCGCCACATGGACCAACGCAACAGCCTCCTAACAGTCTCCATTCTGCCCTTCCCATCTTCCTTATCACCTACCACAATGCCAATACTCAATAAAGCAATTAAAATTATCTTTTTTAAAGCAATACTTCAGATGTTACCCTGCTTTAATCCCTTGAATGGCTTCCCTTTACAAAAAGAACAAAACTCTTGAATCTTTGTCATAGCCTATAAGGCCCTTGACAGTCTCTGATTACCTCTCTAGCCTTATTTCTCTCCTCTCTCTAGTTCCCACCTCGGTCAGTCCCTTTCCATCCTCTATGCTCCAACTACACTTTTTTTTAGCCTCTACATTGCCACACAAATTTTTTTTTTTTTGCTGTTTCTTATACTAGTAATGCTCATCCTCTGTGTATATTTAACAATCTCTTCCTCTTCATCATCCAAGGTTTATTGCCTAATTTTCCCTACAACTCACCCCAACTAGATCATGAAGCTCAAGGGCAACAATTTTGTCTGCCATATTCACCCCTGTACCTCTAAAACAGTGTCAGACAGGCAGTAGGCGGTAAGTAAACATTCACTGACTAAAGAATGACTAACACAATCTCTAAGACTTCTTTGATCTCTGACATTTGTTCAACAAATACACATTTGCTCATTGCCAACATTTGCTGTTTCTATGATCATTTCTGAGTACCAGAGATCACTACCCTAATCCTGTGGATCAGAAAGCACACTCCTCTCAGCAGATCAGTTCCACTGTCCAAAACTCAGCAGGAACCACAGACAAAACACATACAGACATGCACTACATGACAACATTTCAGTCAACACCTGAACACATATATGATGGTGGACCCAAAAGATTACAATGGAGTTGAAAATTTTCTACTGCCTAGTGAAATCCCAGCCACTGTAATGTTGTTGCAGTGCATGCAACACATCACCTTCTCTATGTTTGGATACACAATTACTGACCATTGTGTCACAGTAACCTACGGTATTCTATATAGTAACATGACACAGGTTTGTAGCCTAGGAGCAATAGGCTATACCATATAGCCTAGGTGTGTGCTAGGGTATATACCATCTAGGTTTATGTAAGTACACACTACACCATTCATACAACAAGGAAATTGTGTAATGACACAATTCTCAGAATGTATCCTTGCCATAAGTGGCATATGACTGTATGTGTTTGGCTTCCAGTGAAGACTCTGGGTCAGGTGCAATGGCTCACACCTATAATCCCATCACTTTAACAGGCCAAGACAAGAGGATTGCTTGAGCCCAGGAGTTCAAGACCAGCCTGGGCAATATAGTGAGACCCCATCTCTACAAAAAATGAAAAATTAGCTGGGCGTAGTGGCATGTCTGTAGTCCCAGCTATTCGGGAGGCTGAGGAAGAATGAAGGATCGCCTGAGCCCAGGAGGTCGAGGTTGCAGGGAGACATGACGGTGCCCCTGCATTCCAGGTGGGATGGCAAAGTCAGAACTCGACTCAAAAAAAAAAAAAAAACTTTTTTAAGACTCTGAAAAGAGCAATCCAGATTCATTCTCCTTCCTTTGAAATAAAGTATAAACAATCGCTGCTTTAACAAGTAAGAAAACTTTAGAATTAACCACTTGTCTGAAAAGCTATTTAGAATACACAAAATAGAATTTTGCATTGACATTTCAATTAATTTCAAATAAGTTTAACTTTTCCCCTTTTAAAGGAAAAGAAAAGGTTTCCATGTACAGACACCCATATTCCTTGACATTTGGAGAGTGGGAAGAATCACTAAAAACATCTCAATCTAAATGACACATTGCTCAATATTAGATAACCTCTTGGTTTTAAATTCAGTACATCCTGACTCAGTAATACTTCCATTAGGTAGCAAATCTAGCTCTGTCTACTAGGTGAAACTTTTTATTTTTTTCTCTCCAAAGATCTACATTAAAATCACAAAAGACAACCTTAGGGAGAAGAAAATTCCAAAGATAGGAAATTCAGAACTTATATTAAAATGCCTCCCTAAGTTACCTGAACTTCCAGCTTAAAAAAAAAAAAGAAAGAAAGAAATCAAAATGCAAAGAAAGGAAATGTGGAGTTTAGCTGCCTGACTTGTGGCCTTGGTCTTAGCACTGTGATTAACTAGCCATGAGTGTTTAGCCAATTCAGTTCATCTGTCTGACCCCCAGCTTTCCCATTTAGAATAGAGGAAGCAATCATTTACGACTATCTGAAGTATTAGCTTAGCTTTAAGTTTTATAATTCACCTCTACTTTCAAATCCAGTCAATAATGTAAAGAGCACACTTCAGAAGAGGGTATATTAGGAAATAGTTCAAAACAAGTTAATGAAGTTTCTATCTCCTTATCACTAACCACGCCTGTTACTCCTCTCCTAGGACTTTTATAATTCTAATATTCTCTTTAATTATAATATTGAATAACACGGAGGGTTTGCATTGGACCCCAAGAGTATTGTTTTTTAATTTTAAGTTAGAATAAAATGTAAGATACACATATCTAAAACAGAGGGTGTAGACTACTTAACAAACTTGTGCTCCATGGGTATGCTTCAGTAACTCCATGATTTCCAGTCCCATGTGAATTTGGGTATATACACAGATGAACACACATGTATTTTTAAGAGAAAGATTTCCCATAGTTTCCATCTGGTTATCAAAGACATGATCACCGAATAAAGATTTTGTTTCAAGCTGTCTACCAAAGGAAAAGGCAATTATGGACTAATCACTACCTAACAGTTTACCTGCATCAGCATTCCAAGCATACCTCAGTATAATTTCTTGCTAACCAACATATCTAACAGACATAAAAAGTTAAAAACAAAAGTAAACAAGACAAACTCTGGAAAGGTCAGAGATCTACTGAGTGAACCTAATATATTGACAGTCAACTTTGCAGTTGAACAAAGTATAGTTGTTTGGACTGCCCGTTTAACAATTTTACTTAGAGAAAGACTGCCATCTAGTGGTGGTCCATTCTAACACTCCTTGAAACGATGTGGCCAAGTAAATGGAACTGCTTAAAAACTGTCGGTCATGTAATACTATAAGAAAATGACTGACGGTACTGGGAAACTATGGGGGGGCGGGATTAACAGTAGCAAATA